AATTTCTCATGTTCACTCATGTGACTCTCTGGCATTCACTAATGACTTATTATACAGATTTGTTGCAGACTTTGTATCCTTGTTGAAGTCGTCACAGAAGGTGAAAGTAACGTTGTTTTTGGCACACAGTATTGCCATTTTAACCTCTGCATTTATGACCTGGTTAATGTTGTAAATGACCTGCAGACTACTGCAGGTGGCAGTTTACGGGAAAATACTAATACGGTAGGACGGCGGGAAAGAGGGGTAAAATACGGTAGTTTCCCGGCCAAAACGGGAGACTTGACAGCTATGCTCAAAACTGAATGATGACTTTATGAATTTAGAATATTTACAAACACTGGTGGCATGAAATAAACTGTCACTCTGGGTTGCAACAAAAAGCTTCTGTGTCCCAACATGTAACAGAATCAATAGATGTGTCTGAATTTAGGGGCTGCAATCTTAGAAGGCTGCATTCAAAGGTCGAATGCATCACAGTGATGCGACAAGGCTGTCCCATTTCGAAGGCTCCTTCAAATAGGTCTAGGAATGTGCCCTTCTTTTCCAACCATCTCTGTGCTACTGGGTCCATGACTTCCTGTACCATCAGCAAACAAGTGGCTCAGTGGGCTAGGCCTGTGTGCCTATAATCAGAAGGTTGCTGGTTCAAACGGAACCTCAGCATATTGGTGGGTCCTTGAGCAACCCCCAGCTCCTTCTGCACCCCAACAGATGGCCCTTCGCAGACAGCTTGCTCTACAAAGAGCAAGTTGAAGGACACATAAAGACAATTTCCTCACGGGAATCAATAAAAGTATCTATCATGATTATAAAGATGGCAGGCCATCTTCAAACCTGAAGAGTTTCAGGGAGTTGTGTCGTGATGTGAACAAGCATCCTCGTTGGGCATCAGTCCTGAGGAAGATGGGATGTGAAACTTGCCTGCCATCTTCACAGGAAGTGATGAATCCAGTAGCAGAGAGATGGTTGGACATTGAGAGGCATAAGTTTCTCAAATAGTAAATCAGGGTTGATAGTGAGATAGCAGGCAGAGCCTCTGAAATGCATTAGTATAATCCAGGTATAAGTCTGAGGGAAGTCCAGGTTTTGTAGGATGTGGAGCAGGATGGTGTTGATGGGATCACTGACAGATCTATAGGTGAACTGTAGAGGGTGCTAGATAGCTTCAGTACTGATTTTGAGAGACTGATTGATAAGGCGCTGTGGTGTCAGCATCATGCTGTGGGGATGCTGTTCAGTGGCAGGAACTGGGAGACTATTCAGAGCCGAGAGAGAGCTGAATGGGTGAAAGTAGAGAGGCATCCTACATGAAAACCTGCTCCAGAGTGCTCTGGACCACAGACTGGGCTGACGGTTCACCTTTCAACAGGACAATGATCCTAAGCTCAAAACAAAGAACACAGGAGTGACTGAAGGACGACTCTGTGAATGTCCTTGAGTGGCCCAGCGAGAGCCCAGACTTGGACGCAAGGGAACATCTCCAGAGACCTGAAAGGAACTGTCCACGGACGTGTCCCACGCAGCCAGACAGAGCCTGAGAGGATCTGCTGAAAGAATAGCAGGAATTCCCCAAATAGAGTTTGTCACGTAGGGCTGGGGAATTAATTGAAATTAATCAAAACTGACATTCAGAATCTCTAATCGATGCAATCTTGCCCATATCGGTTACTTCGGCTTTTTAAAATTCTGTTCCTACTTAAAATCATCTGTTAATACTTTCCCCAGTGTGTGTTCATGTACTGTCCCCTTAAAAACATACTACCGCATGTGCTGTCATGTGACTCTGCCCCGGCCGTCCAGTCTACGACATGGAAGCAGCATGGAGGAGGAGTCACGAGCCCACTGAGCAGCTTGAGTGTGGAGCCCTGGAAGGGACATGGAGGGAAAAAAAAATCAGCGGTTGAAAAAAAGCATGCACTTATGTGAGATCTCACAAAAAATACACAAATGTCAATTATAAGACATCCATCTATTTTCCAATGGCCGGAAGCTAGGGGCACAAGACAGGGAACAACCCAGGACTGGGTGCCAGCCCATCGCAGGGCAATCACATATGCACACCTATGGGCAATTTAGTAACTCCAATGAGCCTCAGCTTGTCTTTGGACTGTGGGGGGAAACCGGAGTACCCGGAGGAAACCCCACGACGACATGGGGAGAATATGCAAACTCCACATACATTTAATCCAGGCAGAGACTCGAACCCGGGTCCCATCACGCTGCCCCCTGCCTGAGACATAAAAAGAAAAAAAATCAGCTATAATGATTATCCGCTTATAGTGATGAAATTCACCCAGACAGACATGATCACTATAAATGGTTTATTTTGTTTGCAAGAAATAAAAAAAAAATCTATTTTTTTGGGGAACTTGCTTTTTAAATTAATGCTAAAATGTGACCTTTTTAGAAGATGTTTTCATTTGTGCTTTGATTTCAGTTGCTTGAAATATTCAATGAGTAACTATAAATGGTTCATCTGTGTGTGTTTCCTTCAATTATTTTTAATTCATAAAGATATACAGTCTTTCATTAGAAAAATATCCCAGCTTTAATAGATGAGCATATTTACAGTACAAACATTGTCAACGAAATATGAAGGCAAAAAAACAAACAAAAACAATTGTTCATTAAACGTAATCGAGGTTCAGTTAATCGTGATATTGTTTTCAGGTCATATCGCCTAGTCCAATTGTCATGTCATACCCAAGAAGGCTGCAATACTGTAAAGGTGTTTCAACTGTCCCGAGTAAAAGGTCTAAATACCTACAGTATGTCAGTGTGATGTATCAGTTTTTTTAATTAATACATTTGCAAAAAATTCTAAAATCTTATTTTCCTTGTCAGTATAGATTGCAGAATGTAGATTGACAAATGCAAATAAATTTAAATAATTTTAGCATAATGCTGCAACATAAAAGGGGTCTGAATATTTTCTGAATGCACCGTAAATACTGCTGTATTTTGAAATATAGGCACTGTGCATAACAGTATACTACATATACTACCATGTCTGCTGACATGGAAAATCAATTTTCAGCTTGTAAAATCATGCAAATGTAATATGCAGTTCTAAACACCAGCTTTAATTTATGAACATGTTGCCATTGAAATGTAATTGATGTAAAAGCACGTTTGGAAAGTTTTACATTAGACATGTTTATGGAAGAGAATAAAATACCGACACACAAGTGAAACACACAGAACACAATGCAGGCCACACATGTAAAATAATGGATGTGCAACCAGCCAATCAGATGATAGCACACCGGTTATGCATCACAGTATGATGAGACTTTATTTGTACAAACTGAAATGCTCAGTTTTCACAGGTGAGACTGAAAGACTGAATACTGTAGCTATTTGTCTGGCCTCCCAAAGCCATTTTTGGGGTTAAGGGCCTTGACCAAGGGGCCCTCAGTGATGTGACTCTGCTGTCTTTGACAGCTGTTTTCTAGAATGAGAATCAAGCTTCACAGCTTGATTTTTTTATTTTTGAAAATGCTATCCTTCTGTTTTTAAGCTAACACGCGGGGCGTTGCGGGAGTAAGCTTCCCGCATGTCCTCTGCACATGCAGCTGCGTTACCGTGACTCCTTTCACCTCTGTGGTCACACGGGATCTTTGAAGTCGCGCTGGGGCCCGTGAGTCACGTTACAGTGTACGAAAAAGGAGAATGCTGGAAAGACGAATATAGCTCAGAAATAAGAAAACAGTGGTTAGTATAACGACAGCGACTTGGGACGCTTTACCTCCTCAAAATATTAATGGCTTGTTAAAAAGGATAAAAATCAAACTATGTTAACCTATTGTCAGTTCAGCTTTCATTCATATTCCAACCACAGGTGGGGCTGGAGCCTATAACAGAGGTGGGAATGTTTTCTCCAGATCGTCTATAGTTTGTGACTGACGCACATGTGTGTGCTCTGCCGTTTGGAGCGGCATCCTGCCCCCTGATGTCCCCTAATTTGTTCACTATGGCACCTGGGATAGGTTCAGGAATCACTGGAACCCTATCCTGGAAAAGTGATTGGAAGATGGATGGATGGAGTCATTTACTCAGTTCACAACACTTTCTATCCTCAAGTATCTCAGGTTCGCCTCTTGACTGCCACCTGCCGCCGGCTAAAAGCTGTTTTTTTGGCATTCAGGACTCACCAAGTCTACTGCACTGTCATCTGAACCTGATCATAGCAAGTTGGGACTGCCTTGAAAAACAATTACAGTAATGTGGAAGAACTTTCTAGACGGTCAGAGACCAGTTCTGCAGAAATCTGGCAGGGGTGAGCGGCCTGACATGACTGTAGAGTGCGGTGACATCACGGTGCTGTGGAGCGCTCTGGCCAATCAGCTGGCAGTGCAGTCAAGATGGGATTGTGCTGCTCCTCACTATAAATAAAGATCCATGGGACAGTCTGCCTGGGGGAACTGGCTGCCCCTAGCCGGTCTCCCTGCTACTCCTTCAGGTGGACGCCATTGAGGAGATGCCCGAATCGTTCCTCCCGCTCTGCTGCCAGATGAGAGAATGCGATTCCTGGGACTCCTCTTCTGGGTGGCACAGGCAGACCGTCTCCACCGAGTCCAGGGTGCCGCAGCTCTCATTGGACAGCTGTAAAATGGGTAGGGGGGGCAGATGGGGACCCTGGGAACGAACGTGAGAAATGGCACATTGTAGACATGAAACAAGAAACAGGAAGGCATGCTTCCTCATCTTGATCAGCCACAGGTCTCAAAAAGCACTGGGTACAAAGCATCAGGTCCACAGAAAGCGAAAGGGGCTCTTAGACGGGGACCAGTGACAGAGGGAGCCATAAGAATAGCCAGATAACCTAGAAAACTGCCTGATTGGACCAAAACAACAGGCCTAATACAATACTGTAACACTGGACATTTTTCCATATTTCAGGCATGCAAAGAAAATGGATGACTGTCTCTTTTCTCTGTGTCTTCCAGCCTCACCTGCAAGCTCATGGGAATATAATAGCCTGAACAAAGTTCTTTCAAATCTCTTCGGTTCCAGTAGAGCAGCGCCATGAGCAGCAGGACACAGATAATGAGGATGAGAAAGACAAGCCAGAGACGACTGTGGCCTGGAAGGGACAAACAGTACACCCATCACTCAAGATCACGACTATACCGCTAACCTTAAGCAGCAAGTGAAACTGAACTGCAGATATGTCACTGGAGTGAGTGTAAAGCAGGTACGAATGTGGAAACGGGCATCTTTTTCTCCATTACTCCCGATGGCTCTTATTTCAACCCGTCTCCACTCCTGTGCCTGAATACCTGACACCTCCACGGTAGGAGTTCAAATGCTGTCCCCCGTACTGGGCATATGCAGTTCACACATTCTTCCTAGCAATTACATGATTTATATGGAGACAAATTTACATCTAAAGTAAAGTAATTGTACTTAAATGTCACAACGATAATTGCAATTTGATGAAATGCAAAACCACATTCCCAGCTGTGAGTCTGTACCTGTGCCTACGTTTCAGAAGTACAATCCTCATTTTACAATTACGAACCAATTGCAGCTTATGCATTTACAACTTCGATACTACCATTACGAATCCTTGGTTACGACTTCACAATGCTCAGGTTGTGATTACGAATTACAGTCTTTGCATCTACGACTTGTGCTACATTTACTAATCACTACATTTACGAACCACTAGGTCAAGTTAGATTTGCAAATATGATTTCAGATTTGCAATTCAGATTTAGCATCTCTAAATTTCCAGTAGTCTGTGCCCTGTCCTGGACTGGCATCCCATCCCGGGTGCCCTGCGTTTCCTGGAATAGACCTCATGACCCTGTTCTACTTTTATAGTCCTTGGTATGGCATTTCACAGTATACATATTCCTGAGCCTTACCTTGAGTGAGCACACACTGTGTAGCCGTTAAGGGACTGGTCTTCACAAAACGATCGTTGAATGCACGGACCTGCAAGCAGTACATCGTCCAGGGTTTCAGCGGAGACAGCAGAATAATAGGATGCTTGCTGTAAACCTGCCAGGGAGACAGCAGATGACAGCAGAGTAGCAGCGCAGAGCTTAGAAGGAAGGAAATAATGAGCCATGCTGGAACTGTACCCAAAGGTAGGTATATAGACAAGTTTTATTTCAGTCAACCAGTTGAGTATAATTAGTCACAGTCACATAGAACTCAGCTGGTTGGTTGAAACAAAACCTTGGTCTAGATTTGTACTTTCTGGACCTGAACTTTCTAGCTCTGCATATAAACATGTACAAAACCAGTTCTGTTTTAGTGGAACTGGATTTAAATGCTTAGTGTCATATCACTATCACATTGTGTGATTGCTCTAATATTATCAGATATTATTCTCTGCCTGGTGGTCGACAGAAGGATGAGAAGACGGCAAAAGACAAAAGCTGTTCTTCAAACACTGTGAAGAAACTCACAGATGTCTCCGCTTCCTGTTATTGCTTGAGACAGCACGCCACCAGCACAATAACAGCATTCAAAATGTACCGGATATTTCATTTTCCATTTGTATATTTTTGCGGTATTGTATTCAGCTTTTGAATCTTTGGGATTTTTGTGTGAATCAGTCACACCCATTATCTAAACACATCTAATCACAGAACAAAGCCGTTAAAAAAAGTCCACAGAAAACAAGGGAAATTACCGGCATTACTGTAAATGAACTGAATACTATACATGAACTGCCAGACCTCAAAATCAAAATGCCTCTGCAGTGGACTTGGCCCAGACAAACTGTAAAGTGCAACACAATATGACATCTTCACGGAAGGTGTGACTGGGCAGTGTTTGTGAAGATAATGGTCATTCCATTATCAAAATCCCAACCATTAAACTTACAAGAATAGCAAAATGATAATTCAACTAAAAATGAAAAGGAAGATATACTAAACTAGTGCAGTGCAGTAGTTTTAACAGTAGGAATGACCTGATAAATTCCACCCTTATGGTTTAAAGTGTCCCGGACGTCTGTGTGGGAAGTTTACAGATCAGTACAAAAAAATTAATGAGCATCCAGGCACTATTTGGGAAGAGGAGCCCTGCATTACATCAGGCATAATGGCAACTGGGAGAATGCAGACGCCTCTTTGGGCTGGTGACCTTTGAATAGCCCAGGCTCTGCGGAGGCTCAGCCCGCTGTCACCGTGGATACGGCCAGCTTGACAGATGCTGCTTCGCCAAACCGCCCACGATTCACACAAAGAAATAGGGAGCATAGGTCACAAGAGCCCACTTCCCCATTACACTTAAAATGGCTTCATAAGCACAACCCACTCACATCACCAATATGGAGGGCCACACATGGCACATATACAGTATGAAGGGCCGTGATTGGGTAACTGAAAAAGCAGAGAATTGTGGGTACAGGAAATGGTGTGCTCTAGCCATGTAGTGTTTGGTCCTGTGTTGGGCACAATTTTGGCTTCATTTCAAAAAAGGCTTAGAAATGTGTGACATGTTGGCAACATCTAATGGACACTGTACTTCCGGGAGTAACTGGTGAGCAAGGATGGTGTGATGGCCACAACATGTTGCAGTTATCTGGAGTGAAACTGGAAGTGGTGCATACATTTTTTTGGTCCGACGGGCAAACGGCCTGGATGGTCATGGTTCCCTTTTAATCCCCATTGGCAGTACCAACAGGTGCCCACAGTAGGGGGATGAGGAGCTGGGTTGTGGCATAGTTGTTTGTTATATTTTTGTTAACATTTTTTGATTTAGGTTTTTCTTTATAAAATTGTTTGTATAATCTTATGGGCTCAATATGTTATGGGGTTTATGGCGTTATTGGCATGTAGGTATAAATGTTATGGTAGTGTTCCCCCCTTGTGTGTGTTGCTGGATTGATCACCCAGTATATATGTTTCCCCAGTGTGTTATTTGTTAGGTCAGTTATGTTCAGTGTAGGTTGGGTTATGCTTTGCTTTAATTTTGGTTTCATTCTGTTTGGTTGACCTCATTTTATTGGGCCCTGGATTTTCCTTTGTTGGATATTCTTTTGTATTTAGGTGATTTTTGGATTTTCAGTAAAGTTTTGGTTAGTAACAAATTCTGTGCCCCTGAGTCTGCTTGCTGGTCACTCACAGATGGGTTTCTCAGTTCTCCGATAACACCAGCCAATCACTTTAATGGGCAGGAACGGTCTCCTCTTAATGACCGATGAATATGAGCATCTCCAATTGACACGTTTCCAGTCTGAAGAGGTAAATGATATTAACAGAATGCATCTACCACAAGGTTACGCTCTCGCGAGAAGGACTTCTCTTGGAAACTTCCCAGGCCTCAACCATCTGCATCAGCAATTACTGCCTGAAACAACCCCATATTCCAGAATCTTCGCCACGCTCCCGGTCTCCCCCAGCCGCGGGGACCCTTACTGTGCTCTCCCAGCCACAGGGATCCTGGCCGCACTCCCCGTCTCCCCCAGCCGCGGGGACCCTCACTGCACTCCTACAGCCGCAGGGATCCTTGCCGCACTCCCCGTCTCCCCCAGCCGCAGGGATCCTCACCGCACTCCCGGTCTCCCCCATCTGCGAGGACCCTCGCCCCACTCCCTGTGTGGTAGAGAAATTATACATCACCCTCTCTGATAATTCTAGTTGAGCCACATAGAATAAAACTCTGGACCTCTCAGTTTGGTGAGTGATCTCTTTTATTCGAGCAATCCAGCAAAGCGCTCCCCTCATACTCTGACACCAGGTACCACGTACCCCGAGCACAAAGAGTAACCAGTTGATAAACCATAATTCCCAATTCCCTATAAAGGACTTCTAAGTCCTGATTGGTCACAAAACACCAACAAACCAAGCTTAAACGTATAACAAACACAATTCTCCTGCTCCATTGATTCACCTTGGTAGCGAGGAAAAATCCACCCATCTCGCTCAATTTACCGGAATCTGTCTCGACATCTAGACTCTACTTGAGATATGTATATAGATATTGATTATATGACATTGAATCATTTGTGATTCAATCACTTGTGTGTATAACATATTGTATATTGTCTACTGCGACTATTTTATAACTATAAGTCATTGTGCACCAGTAGGGGCAGCCTAGAGTCTCTTCCTGCAGGTGGTCCCCCCCCCCTGCTCCGCTGTCTGTCTCTCCAAGGTCTGATCTTTCTTCAGGGTCTACACAATTAACTGCAGGTAGCTATAAAGCCTAAGACATAACAGACCCAATATGCCTCCCCTCCCAGGCCTACCAATGTCCACTTTTCCTTCCACACCTGTCCAGCTGTGAGGACCCTTGCAATGCCTGACTACTCTCCTTACTGCATTCCCAAAGTCAGATATTGCAGTTGTTCCAGTGCAAGAATCCGTAGAATCGCTGACAGGCATCAGACAGTGGAAGACCTCTCTCTCTCACTCACACACACACACACACCTTCCTCCCCCCCCCCACAAACTGCTGCTAATGCACTGACCACTTTGCACCTAGAATTGTAAAGACGATTATTATAATACAGAAATGTGTGCAATATCCATTGGCACTGCATACCTGCATACACCGTTTACCTGTTTTACACAATGCCTAACATATCTGTACATACAGTATGTGTCATAATGTCATTCAGTTCTGTTCTTGCCATTTTGCTATTAATTGCAATTGTAGTCACTGGCTCCCTAAGTGATACTAAACACAAATGTTTGGTGTTTTATTTTATTGCAAAGGTGTTACTAATTAAAATGCACCCAATGAGACTGCTTGTCAATGAACTTTTTAACTTAGAATAGCTCCTGTAAAACTATAATTTGGGTTTCAATTTATCACTACTTGAAATTAATGTTTTACTAAAATTACTGATGTTTCTAATGTGACAAATATGTTTTGTAAATGAATGAATGAAGTAATGATTTTTGTTGTAAAATCCTATAAACTTGCAATATTTTTACTGAATTAAGCAAACAATTTAATCTCTTACTCACCTGCTTTGGTGCCTGTTCTTCCCAGTACTTAACTTCAAAGCATATGGCCTGTAGAATGGAGCTCATGGATTTATTCTGGGTGGTCAGTGACTCCGTGATTTGAACCGTCAGGCTGGAGTTGCCACTTATGACGTCCACGCGGGAGGGGGGTCCCAATGAGGCTGCAACACAGCATCACTCTCCTCAGCCCCCCCAGACCAGCACCGGCCCTCCGCCAGAGGCACTCTGACGGCAACGACGGTCACTCACCGTTCTCTTCGGGGCTGAAGAGACACTGGGACCAGTTGGAGATCCCTGCTGGTCCCTCTGCGCGTACCCGTAGCAAGTAATACGCAAAGTAATGCAGCTTGATGGGGGTGTAGTCACAGAGGTGCTCTGTGGTCTGGTTGCACACCACAGTGTAGTCTGATTTGGTGGAGCTGGGGGCCCAGGAAGCAGGGAGATGACACCAGGTGACATTTAGGTGACAAAGCCGTACAGTCCATGGTATCCAACACTCAAATATGAAAACTTGCTGCTGCTTTAAAAAAAAAAAACTTTAGCTAACATCCAGCATTTAGCTCCAATAAAATAGTTATTTTCCACTGCTATGGATGACACAGTATATTGCAATATTCTCATCATATGTAAACGTTGTAGTGTAAATAAAAGGCTACATTCTCCATTCTACATCTTCCGTTGCCGAAGACCAGTTCCAATACTCAACAGTAAAAGTACGAAGGACGGTAACAATCCCCGGATGTCGTTCTTGTCCCGCCTCAAATATCAAGGATACACCGGTTGCATCCTCACCGAACGGGACCAATCCCATGATTTATTGCACCCCAAGTTCGTTCTTGGGAGGCAAGTTAGTAAGACTGGTCTCACCCAGACCACAAGTATGATCTTTGCCTTCTTGGTGATAAACAACCTCAATTAATCATGTGATGCAAAAATACGAGAGTGTCTATTGGTGATGTTACTCCTTATTCTTCAGCTGCTCTGAGGCCACAATCCTGAAGACATCAGCTATTGTCTGGGCACAACATTGAGAGTTCAGAAGCATCCACACAGCCAATCACACGGCAGGGACGGGGGCAGTCACTTACAGGGAGTAATCTGTGGTGAACTTGGAGGAGCCTCTGGTCCACATGTCGTCCCACTCCCACTTAAGCATGTAGCGGTCATTCACAGCCTCCACCCTCACATTCTGGGGCATGGGGACTGCCATCGCAACTGGGGTGGGGGGGGGGAGACAGTGCAGTTTGCATCTAGTGGTCAGTTGTTTTGAGGGTGGCAACCACTGGCAGAGCTGACTTTCCATAACAAGTTCTGCACTGGTTAGTCATTGAAGCATTTTACTGTCAGACAGACTAATAGAGTCACAAGGAAAAACTTTTGATTTTCTGGGGAAAACTGGCAAAAATAAATCTGCAGTGTTGTGTCGCATGCAGGGGCATAGTGATCCAGTGACCTTTTCCAGGAATTAAACAATTTTTATCCTTATTATTTTATTTATTTACAAAAAATGCCATCGCGTTCATGAGTAGTATTATGCTGTTACTTACATATTAATCACAAACTTAGTCTTAGTTACATACGGATCTAATGTTCATTCACATTAATGAATCATGAGGCATCTTTTATCTCAAGCAATTACTATATTTCTTATTATATCTGTTAATTCTGTAACCCTCTTTGAACTACTGAAGGAACAAATAACGAAAAACATGCAAAATACATTAATTGTGACACATTTTATCCCAAACAGTTACTATATCTGTTAATGTGTTACGTCTTAGTGAACTACTGAAGGAAGAAGTAATGAATAACACGACAAATACTGTTCTCTTGTTTGTGCGTCATTAATGAATCATGATGCATCTTTTAATCTCAAGTAGCTACAATATTTGTTCATGATTTGTACTTCAGTAGTGAGTGAGTTTCTCCTACGTGTTTGTGCCCCATCAAGTAAAGTACTACCAAAATTTGTAAGTGATATGGCAGCAGAGCTGTAGAATCCAGCTGCTCCTTGCTTATAAGCAGCCGGGCAGCCAGTTGGAAGATTAAATGAGGGGTAGTTAGGTCACATTAAGTATTTTGCACTGCACGGGACAAAGGCATTCAAATTTCCTTAACTTTCTATATTTTTTTAAATGATACACTTTTAAGCAAGATACAAATCAAATGGGACAACATACAAGTTTGTGTGCCACTAACAGTCACATTTAACAATGTTTCCCATATCAAAGCATTACGAGTATGTGACCTGGGTCTAGGAGGGAAGGAGGATAGAATTGCAGCCTGGGGAGGCACTTATCAGGTCAATGGGGGCTGCACTGGGTCGGTCTGACAGATATGCCAGAATGAACGTGGGAGTCCAATTTAACAGTTTACCTTGAAATCAGACGAGACGTGACCAAAGAAGTCCAGGGTCACATGTTCCCGTAGGGGTCAGGAGCTGAGTTTGGGTGGTATTAAAGCAGTAGGATATACTTTGAAATCTTCAACAAAATTCCTCATAAGGGAGGGGGGGACATCCCTTATTTCCTCATCATTGAAAGTAGCAATCAAAGTCGATGCATAACAAATCTTGACATTAGTCACTGGGTTTAAAATACCAGTACAGCGTTACTTTTGAAAATATCATATTCCACAGTATCGTGTTGCACAGGATGATGGTAGGAAAAATTAGAAGCCGCCAAAAAGTACCAGAAGACTTAAAATGTTTATGCAGAAAATTTGCAGAAAACTGACTTTAATCTATGAAATCCCACCTGGGTCAGATTGCATTGTTCTGCAGCTTTGCACTATAAGTAGCATATGAGCTGGGTACTTAGCTATGTACCTGTTCAGTTCACACTATAATGTAAAACACTACTTCTCACCATTGAAAGACCTTTATTAACTTTCCCTATTGTATTTCAAGGGTCTACTCCACCCTTGCATTAAAGTCCTTGTACTTACAACAAAAGATGCTTATCCTGCTTGATCAAAGTGGAAAAGGGAGCAGAGCTCTCTGTCATATGGAGGTCGGAATTCATGCCATAATCTGCTTGCTCATGAACAGACATTCGTCTCTAGGCCTGGCCTGCAGTGAAAGGTACTTCTTAAAGGACGCCTCTTGTCCATAGAGCTGTCGCTGAGCTAATCAGTGCTGATCTCCCTTAGCTTTTCTGTGCCCAGTCTTGGCTTTATTTGGCCTTTATGTGGCAGCACCAAGCAGGGTAGCACTGAAAGTGGGTTTTAATTCAGCTTCATTTCGGTCTCTTTGGAATTTGCTCATTTTCTCCATCTTGGTTTCTGTCGCACAAACTCATCTGTTTACACAGTCATACATTTTACACAGGCGCCATTTGGTCACTGAACAAAGGCTAGCTGAACACTTCATATCTTTTGATTGTGACAGAAGCATCTTTATTCGGAAATGAAAGTAAACTCTCTACATACATACATCCATTTATCTTCCAGCGGGATACCCAATACTTAATCAGTTAGCTAATCTTCCAGGGCTGTTTGGGACAGTTGAAGCTCAGAATGGTGTCTATTAATGAATATCAAAAAAAGTTGTAAGCAATCCAACACTGAAACTATGCTTGTGTTAAATTCAGTGACAGAAATGTCAAGATGTGTCACACATCGACCCACCGCCTGATTTAGCCAATCAATTCAGACATTAAACATAATCAGAATCCCCAGGATCCATATTCGGATGTAAATCAAGTGCATGCTTTTTATTGGTGGTGAATCCATCATGTTGTTTACCAGTATGGGGGTCCGCAGCAGGGCGTTGGGTGCTGAGGAATTAAGTTTTGGCTTCAATATGACTGAGGTACGACCACATACAAGGGGAGATTCCAGGATTTGACCCTTTTTGACTACGTTCACAACACCAAGCTGAAGGGACTCAAATACGATTTTTTGCCTGAATGTGACACAGACCTGATTTTTTCAGGGCTGTGTGGACACACGTCTGATATTTTCAAATCAGATTTGAGTCACTTTCACATATGGTCCTAGATCAGGTACGTATCTGATTTGTGGCCTTGTGACATGAATGTGAACAATCAGATCACAATTCATATAATTTTTTTTTTGCCTATACACATACGCTGAGCATTTCTTTGTTGTTGGTGAAGCAGATAACTCATGAAAAAACATATCAACGTGCATATGCGAATCGTTTCAGAGCACAGATGCATTCACATCAGAGTTAGGTATAAAGATAGGCAAGATATCCGATCTGAGCAAAAAATCTGAATTGGACAATGAGAATGTGAATTTAATGTGATATTTAATGTGAATGAAGCCTTAGTTAAGGTGCCAATATTTTAGCTTTCAGAATAGAGGACACTGGGCTCCAGACGTAAAGACAGCCTTTAAAGCAATGCAAATATTCACATTCAAAGTATTCTGATGGTAGAAAGCAAATTAAACACAAAACAGAGGAAAATCTTGGACATTTGATTTTAGGTCCCCAAAAAAAGAGGATCTAAGGCCACCATACCTTACCGGTACCAGTTAGGGTGACCAGATAATCCATATCAAGGACACTGGAGCCACTTCAGGTTTTACAGACTACTTTCAAACTGAAAGGCTCCTGTGTTTGGCTAAATAGTTCAGTCCTTCATGTGCTTTGACTGGTTTGTTTCCTTGATTGAAAGACTCATCCAGCTGTTTCATATTAACATTAATGACACATGCATGATTATAGGAGACCAATCAACACACAGCAAGAACTTGATGCTTATGTGAAATCCAGGTCCAATTGAAATAGTTACAAATCCTTCCCTAGCTCAAAGTGTCCTCTCTGACATGGATTATCTGTTGACCCTAGTCCCCGTAGGATTGCCAATTCTAAACTCAAGAAATAGGGGAACGATATATACCCTGTCTATAAAATCTGTATGAGTCCATAAATGCAAAAAAGGCTGTAGCCATGGAGTCAACACGGGGGGGGGACCAAGGCCGTAATTATGATACATACTGGGGGGTGCATGCACTTCTCAGCAGACATGAGTACAATTAGGGCCGTTGTTATGCCGAGTTCTGCATAACACCGGCCCCTGTCCTCATCCATCCCATCCACCCGGAGGAAACACCATGACAGCACAAGGAGAACATGCAAACTCCACACGCGGAGCCACGGCGGACATTCGAACCCTGGTCCCAGAGGTGTGAGGCAACCAGTACGCCACCGTACCGCCCAGCCGTTGTATTCTTCAAATCGTAAACCGTACATTTACATATGCACTAAAATTAAAACGCGATCAAACTAATTAAATATCTTCAGAATTTAAATCACGACTCACCGGTGCAGGCGGAGAAGAAAACCGGACAAAGGAGGAGGTTTGCCAGCATGTCGACATTCCTGCCAAGAAACTTGTTTTTCTTTTCATTCATTTTTATTAGCCATGACTGCCGCCACCATCGTCTTATCTCCAAAATGTATCTGACCAGTTAAGCATTTAGAGGCAATGGAAGAGTAGAAGTGTTTTTGCTTTCATTTTGCGACTTCCGGTCCCGTACGGTTAGCGATGTGCTTTTAAAAGACAAACAAATCAACAACAGAAAATGTATTATAACATGCGTAAGTTTGATCGAATGAAATAATTTGGATGCCTATCAGTAAGTTTCCGTCTCGCCATAGCCCTAATCCGCGCTTATACCGCCGTCGGCAATGGCATTTAACAACTAACCGGATTCCGCTTCCCGGAACCATCCCGTTTATAACATGCCGTAATACTGTAATAATACCCGCCCAACCGGAATCCCACAACGGCAGCGCTTGCAATTATTTATTTACTGCAATTGTCTTCAGGATAAGAAATTATTTCCTCGTTGTCTCGATATAACAAGCAAGGGCGTAACTTTGGGTGGAACATTGGGGGGGTTGAGGTCTCCACCCATTACGAGGGAAACATGGTTATTTGGGGGGTTGTGTTAGCTGGTTTTGATTTATTGGGGGGGCTACAACCCCCCGTACCCCCCCGAAATTTACGCCCATGATAACAAGTGTCGTTTTCTCGAGATAATGGCATAATTGTCTCTAAATAATTACAAGGATAGGTAACACTACTGGAGGGGGCACAAATAATTTAGTATTATGCTATTGCTTATGTATAAATTAACCACAAACTTAGTTACACACTTACCTCACGTCCGTGCATCATTTATCCCAAACAATGCCTATACGTATTAGTTAATGATTTTTACTTAATTAGTGAGTTAAGTATTTGTGCCCCCTCATTTAAAGGATACATAAGGAACGATACACATATAGTGTGTCGCTAATGGAGAGTGTTACTTAAGGTGTGCATTGAAACAGTCTGAATCTTTGCGAGTTATTCCATTAAGTGAATGTGTTATGCTTGAAATTGTTCCTTCTACACAATGGCAGACATAGAGAGCAACCCTTAAATAGCAATGTACACTGTACATGAGCTGCAAGTCCTTTTAGCGGTGTATCTTACGCCTGTGTTTCCCAACTCAGTCCTCAGGGAACCCCGGCCGGTCCACGTTTTTGCTTCCACTCAGCTCCTTGTGCGCCTGTACCAGGTATTCGGTGTTCCTGATTGGCTGTGAGCTGGGAGGGTCAGGGCTCTTCAAATCTGGACCTTGATTCCAAATCCAGGCCTTGTTTTCAGTTCTCCCAGGTAGTTAGTTTAATAATTTCTGATTCTGATTGGTCAGAGGCTTCACATCTGGCTCACAGGTAAAGGAAGGTGGAAAACCAGCAGTGCTTGGACCTCAAGGACCGTGATTTTAATAATAGGGTGCTAGATTATGGTATCCTGAGACTAAAAGCGTAATAGCAAGGATGGCCAATTCCGCTTTCCGCACACCCAGGCATCGCAGTAACCATAGTATCCTGGAGACATCTGCCAAGCCCCACCCCGTCCCGTCAGCATGCTGCCAAAATTACGAAATCATGATTTACCAGTACTCGCTACGTCATTTTCATTTCCGTAAATTTTATTTCAGTAGATTTGTCCTTACTGCTTAACTGCACATTTACTGAAGCAAAAAGTGTAGGTTAGCCCCTTCTGTACAAAACTGATTTACAAAATATTCCTTGCTTGGAATTTTGGCAAAATCTTATTTTACAATATATATATATAAATGTGTGTGTGTGTGTGTGTGCGTGTGTGTGTGTGTGTGTGTACACATACACACGTCAAAAATGTCGATGGGTTCAATACTTATTTTCCCTGCTGTGTGAACAAATTTGAAAGAAAAAAAACATTTCAGGATTCTATAAGAATCAAATTCAGCCAAACACAAACACTGTCCAGCAAAGAACAAACATACATTTTATATATATATATATATATATATATATATATATATATATATACATACATACATACATACACACACACACAGGATACTTAGATATTTTACCAATAATCTTAAGTGTGTGTGTGTGTGACAATGTGTATACACACACACACACGAGATGATTGGTAAAGCATGCAAGCAACTATCGGGGGGGGGGGGGGGGGGGGGGGAGAGGGTAAAACACTTTGCACCGTTTTTTTCTAATACTGACAAGTATCATAGATATAACAATGAAATTCACTTTAAGAAAGGCTAAAGGCCTCTGTGTTGTCCTACTGAATCTCACTGTACCTGTACATACAATCTGAATCTCACTGTACCTGTACATACAATCTGAATCTCACTGTACCTGTACATACAATCTGAATCTCACTGTACCTGTACATACAATGCCACACATACAAAACTTCACTGAGGTTGTCATTTTACATTACATTTAGCAAAAGCGTTATCCAAAGTGACGTACATTTTTGAGAAGGCAAGGTCAGCTAGTCTGTGGAGCACGCTGGGGCTTAAGGGCCTCGCCCAAGAGCCCAATGGTAAGATCACTCTGCTTATTATGGGATTTGAACTGGTGAACTTCTGATAATAGGCAGGTGTCCTGGCCCAGAGTCACACACTAGTTTAAACTCTTCTGCACTTATGGCACCTTTTGCCATAATGCACATCATATACTAATACTGGCTCTCTCAGTGAACTTTTTAGATTCATTGTCTCTTATGGGAAACTTCATTTAAAAGATATTGAAGGTACGTAGAAGGTATCTGACAATTTAAATGCCTACTTCTAATATCCTTCAGCTTTTATCCAGTGAATCCAGTGTTCCAGTGGTGTTCCAACATTGTATTCCAGGGGGCGCCGCTGACATCTCATCCTCCAAGTCTGCCCCCATGTTCACCATCATCCCAGCTTCCTGTGCCTCCGGCAGCATGGCCAGATGCTCTTCTACGGAGTAAAGGCCGCTGTCCCCGCTGTCCTGACGTCCATGCCAAGACACGTCGGCCTGCAAAGTGGTGGGCTCCATGTCGGCGTGGACCTCCAAAGATGCCATCACTGGAGATACCTCCAGCTTTCTCAGGCAGATCTCTTCAGATTCTAAAGTCAGCAGGGAGGGCTGCCCGGAGCTGGAGGGGGAGTCGTGCAGGTACTATGTGAAGAAAACAGGGAGAAGGAAGGAGAGAATTAACAGACAGGCACCTGTTGCCGAATTCTGTCCCTCAGTGTGTTCCCTGAGATTGCAGGAGGTTCATGTGGGATCAACTTCTCAACCAGCAAAGATGAGTCACCACCCTCATCCCCTGCTGTGCACCCAGCCCTAATTTTATTTAGATAAGTTCAGCATAGGCGACTCAGTGGCTCAGTAAACCACACGACTTCAGTATCACTGGTTAATTTATAACATATTATACCTGAATTACCTGCAGTGTGTTTCGTTTTACAGGAAGATCAGCGGACGGCTCAGATAAAATCTCTTTGTAGAACAGGTGTGTGTTCAGCACAGTTCTTATCCAATATAACTTGAATTTTATTTTCAGTGAAAGCTGAAAAGCGGAATCCCTGTTCTCTTACACCTCCAGGTTAGGGGTTCGATTTATGCCTGGACTCTGTGTGGCGGCTGCATGATCTCCCCATGTCACATGGGGTTTTGCTGGGTTCCTCCAGCAGTCCAAAGGCATGCAGCTAAGCTAACTCATTCATTTGTGTTTGTGCCCCGCAGAGGTCAGGCTTTACCTCTCGGAACATGGACAGGAACATAGACAGGAACTCCGCCATTCACTCTCTGGCTTCTCAGACGTCAAAGTGCCTAATCCTAACTGCCCTTCCTAGTAACACTTAAACTAGGAACAACTAGAAAAACAATAGCACAACTATGCAGGTAATGATTCCTTTGATCACCTACTAATTTGAATAATGCTATTTTAAGTTTCCATATTTTAAAGGGGCCCTATCAACTGATCATAATTTTATTTTTGGGGTCTACTAGAAAATATTTACATGCTTTGATGTTCCAAAAACATAATTTTTCTCATATTGTACATCTCTATTTATTCTGTTTATAACTCTGAAATGCTCAGTAAGACCTTTAAGTCCCACCTCCAATGAACCCAGTGTGCTCTGATTGGTCAGTTTGTCCTACATGTTCCACTCCTGTCTTGCAGTCTGTAGACAGATCCTTGCAGGTAGGTGACCAATAATAATAATAATAATAATAAAATAATAATAATAATAATAATAATAATAATAATAATAATAATACAATCCTGTATTGATCCCTGTGGGGAAATTCTCTTTACGCCTCCCCCAACTTCGTCAAATTTTTCTCGGTAGGTTAGAATACATTGGCTGTGAAGGGCAGCCACCCATAGCAGCACCCAGGGAGCTGGGGCTTAAGATGTGCCGAGGCCAGGCTAGAACCAATGACTTTCCGATCACAGGCACAGAGGCTTAGCCCACTGAACCACATGCTGCCCCCAAAGATTGTGTTACGAGGTGACCTCACCATGCCTCGGAAGTAAGGGCTGGAATTCTAACGAGGCGTTTCAGGTAGGTGAGAGAAGAGTGGTTTCTGTGGTGAGAGTTACTCCCTATGCACAGACTGTTTACATCACAGGTGTCAGACTCCAGTCCTGGGGGGCCGGAGCCCTGCACAGTTTTTGGTTTACCCTCATTTAACACACCTGATTCAACTTCTTGTGCTAATTACCACACAGCTCTTGAGCTGAATCATTTATGGTAGGGTGACCAGATAATCCATGTCATCCCGGACACTTTGAGCTAGGACAGGATTTGTAACCTACCATTTCAATTAAAAGGACCTGGATTTCACTTAAGTACCGAGTTCTTGCTGTGTGCTGATTGGTCAGTCTCCTATAATCATGCACGTGTCACTAATGTTAATGTGAAACAGCTGGATGAGTCTTTCAGTCAAAGAAACAAACCAGTCAAAGCACAAGAAGAACCGAACTATTTAACCAAGCACAGGAGCCTTTCGGTTTTAAGGTAGTTTGTAAAACCTGAAGTAGCTCAAGGTGTCCGGGATGACATGGATTATCTGGTCACCCTAATTTATGGTGGAACAGGGAAAGAACTAAGCTACACAAGGCTCCGGCCCCCCAGGACTGGAGTTTGACACCCATGCACTAAAGGAAAGGGAAAAACCGGAAAAGCATAATGGGGCAGTTTTAAAGTCAGATGAACCATAAAGTCACTGCAGTTTAAATTCTGGTCAAATTTGTTTGCAGCAAGAATAAACATCAGTGTTGTGTTGCTTTACTTCTGTCCCTGTCAGTAGCACCTAGAATTTCATGTAGATGATTAGGTAATGCTAGATCACCAGCCATGAGGCTAGCATGGCAACACATCCCTGTTTGGTGCTGCAACTGCTCTGTACCTCTAGTAGGCTGGATGGGACCTGGCAGGAGGGGAAGAATGTCCTCTTCACCACCCAGTAGGACTTCAGGATTACAAAGGCAATCAGCAGCACAGTGAGAAAGCAGACCAGCATGGAGACCAGGAAAGGCAGCATGAAGTGCCAGACTGTCGACTGACCTGGACACAAAGGCACAAACATGAAGAGTCAGGTGATCGTGGGTCAGCTGGGGTTGGGCTGTCATGTCAACAGAAACTGAATTCTGGGAACTGCAGTGCAGCTGTATGTCATTGACATGCATCTCCTCAGAGAATGAGCAGGGAAATTAAAGGTGTGTTTTTCCATGTTAAATTCTTATTATTCTGAATAATAAAACGCTGAGACCATGGAAAAATGTGGCACATTTGCTGGCGAAGGAAAGAAAGAGGTGGAAGCAAGCTGGAGGTCAGTTCTGACACCCCCTACCGCTGGTTTGCCGGCACTGGGTGGCGCTGAAGACGCTGGCTTTGTTGCTGTAGCCCTCACGTGACTGAACTCTCAAACAATACATGGTCCAGGGCTCCAGGTCTGAGAGGGACACCAAGTTCAGCGTTGCATTTTGGTATTTGTAGTCCTGCAATGCGCCATGTGAGGAACAAACACAGACACACATAAAGTATTAATATTCACGTGTTTGTGGGGATTCTCTACTCATTTCTATGGGCAAAAGCCTAATCCAAAAAATGACAACCCTAACCCCTACCCAGCCTCAACTTTAACCATAAATAACCAAGCAAAACAAGACTTTTGGCACTTTTATTTTTTTGTTTGTTTCGTTTGTTTTGATTGCATCCAAAGACTTCTATGAAAGTGAGGTTCTCCATGTGGGGCCTGAAAAAATGACCCCATAAGGTTTTTATGGGGAAATCTGGTCCCTACCATTAAATAATTACAAACACACACACACAACATTTTATAACATTCTTCATTTCTGCCAAAGACATGCCACTGCATCAATGGGAAATGTGATGTCAAAAACACAGTATGTTATGTTACATTAACACTGATTGGTCAGCTGCTGAGGACTTTTCCGGCTGTGGGTATAGGTTCCAGTGTGCCAGCCCACTGCTGACCGTGTGTTAATCTAGCTACAGTGACGAACAGATTCCTCGACCAGATTTCTTTTTTTTATACCAGCGTAGCACTGGCGGGGCACATGTCCCAGCATGCCACGTGTGCAATTGTAAATAGAAGGACCACAACAGGCACTCAACGACCACCGAACCCAAATACACAGATGGGAGAAACAAGACTGTCAGACATTGAACTGCAAGATGCACACATGGTGGAAGATTTACACACACTAAATACACATGAGGATCGGACCGGGTACTACACACAAGACACGGGCAACCACACGCGCAACAATAGGGAAATGCAACTATTAACATTAACAACAACAACAACAACAATACAAGGGCTTTAAGGACTGTTAATAAAGAGCATGTTTTCCCCGGCAAGCAAGTCTCCATGTCTCTCTCTGCCTCTCTCTCTGCCTCTCTCTCTGCCTCTCTCGCTGCCTCTCTCGCTGCCCGTCACCACACTATATTGTGTTTTTCTTTAAAGTTTTTACTATAAAAACCAGAAAATTAACTACCAAAAATTATTATTTGGTAGGCTTGTAAATGAATTAAGGGAATTTCAATGCTTATGGGAAAAATTGCCTTGATTAGCGTACAAATTGGTTTGTGACCACTTTCTTGGAACGGATTGTGTTCGTGAACCGCAGGCATCATTGTATTCCGAAGCAGTTCCCCCTGTACCATGGTCTTGTCATTAAGCCGTTCAAACACGCACATGGTGATATTTCAGCAAGAACAGCGCTGCTGATCGGCATGCGTGCGACAGAGCGGAAACGGCAGTGACGGCGTCTGGAGGAGCTCGCCAAACCGGGCACTGCAGCGGAAACACGATGATAGGGGCTGCCAGGTGCAAACGTCTCCGGAGGAAGTGAGGCGAGCTTGGCAGATTGCTTTGCACGCAAAGACTCACCAAGCCCGCGATTCTTCCGTTCTTCGAGATCAAAGTGACAATGAAATGCTGCACTACATCTATAACTATGTCAGAATTCAAGAGGTTGCAAAACCAAATCACATCAATCGGGGAGGAAATGTAAAGCTCCATTACATAAAACACGCTGGCACCTAAGCAAAGTCCAACAAACAGCAACCTAGGCAGTATGAGAAATAAAGCTGGAGTTTCTACAGCATTTGACTGATAATATTAGTTTATGCCTGTAGCTCTCAATCCTATTCCTGGTTTTCAATCCTGTTCCAAAAACAGGCAAAAGGGGAACCCTGACAGCATAGAACGTAGTTAACTGTAGCCCGAGGAGAACGAGGACCCACCTTTTTCTGGTCAGAGTCTTTCCAGTACTGTATGCTGAAGTACAGGCCGTAGACATCATCCTTCATTGAAGCGTTCCTGCTCGTCATGGGGTCATAGATCATCACTGTCAGGACAGAGCTCTCCACCGCCAACTCCACTCTGGAGGGTGGGCCCAAGGCAGCTGAAGGGAAGCAGTTAGCGTCAGACTCTTATCGCGGGGCACAGCACCCTTCTCTAGGACGGGGTCCAGCACTTTCTTTCTGTTAAAAGTCACATTTTAGAGGCATGCTGGTTCAGAGCCACATCTCAGCTCTAAAGCAGTTTAGATGCAAACACGACAAATTACATGACAGATCAGGTGAATTTGACTGCATTGCTGGAGGATGTACGATTGTGAATTTTTTTTTGTAACCTGGAAATAGGCTTAATGTAATCATAAAAAGATTATACTATTGTGGATGAATAATTAGCAAACACGTTCAACTATGACATTCTGAGTGAAGTGTAGTCTAAACCAGGCGTGGGCCCCTGTTCCATAGAGGGCTGGGGGGGGGTGTAGGTTTTTGCGATGACCTCTCAATCAGCCAATAACAGTGGGTCCCTAGCACTGGAATTGAGAACCAATGCTTCATTATTCACTGATTGCGAAGGTCATCTCAAAAACCCCCACCGACCCTCCATGGATCACAGTCTCCAACTTTCATAAACGATGACATTTGAACCCAGTCTTGCACAACTCTATCCGCTTTCCAAACCATTGACTGCTGCAAGTTTTTCTTGACAAATTCAGTTTCACATGACAGAAACGAACACACTGTGTAACATGATCCTTAACTGCCGGTGCCTTTTGAGTGTATTAACACCTGGATTAGAGGACAGAACAAAATGCAGCTCAGAAGACTAGGGCTCATCAAGAATGTTAATTACATTTACTCATGTTCCAAGCAGAGGGAAGTACGGGCGATGAGACAAAGGTCTGTGTTCGAATTTTCTGTGCTACTGGGTGAGAGGTCGATTCTCACAACAAGCGCGTAAGTTAAAAAAAAAAAGCACTTCAAAAGTTATGCGTGTTTAAGTTAAGCGTATTCTCCCCTTATCAGCGTTGATATGCCAACCCCACCTAACGGAAAAGAAGGCGTGGCCATATAAGACGTATAATTAATTAATCAAGACAGAAAAGGGAGTTACGCCCCCGATGATTCAGTCAACAAGCAAAACATGGAACATGGACTGTTTCATTTATATTTTGAACCCAGTTGAAATCTGCAGAAACCCTTTTATTTTATTATGAAAGCATGGAGGTAGCGTACTGTACTTATATTCGGTCATTGTCATGAACATGAGAATCCGTCAACAAAAAACAAAACGTCACAATGAAATACAATTTCGTGCTGAGCAACTGACATTAGTTTAACTTATTAGGTATGTTACAAGTATGTAATTTCTTTGATGTAATCTCAGCTACGTGCTTTTTGGACTTAAGTGCATTGGAGATTCGACCCCTAAATGCATATGGGTGTGGGGTCCACGTGTGACCTCTCTCTTACCATCTTTATCAGGGCAGAAATCCTTCACTTCCCACTGGGATCTCTCTGTGCCGCTGTTGGTTCTGACCCGGAGCACATACATCCCATGGTAATGCAGGTTACGGCCGGTGAAGTCACACCAAGTGTCTGTGGTATTCTCACATGCCGTGAGCCAGGTGGGAGACTTCTGGGGCAATTTATATTTCCTGTGGAGGAGGAGGGAATTACGAAAGGAGTAGAGTACATGATGAAAGACAGTGAGCGAGCGTCCTACAGGCAGAAACATCGGCCTCTTACGAGATGTACTGAGCCGTGAACGTGACACTCCAGTTCTCCAAGGTATCGTGGGGACAGGTCCACCTCAAGACATACTGTGTGTTCAGAGTGTCGAGGGTGAGGTTCGCGGGACTAGGCAGCACTGCAGTCACTGAAAAGAAAAAAGACAGAAAGAAAGTTCACCCCAAGCATCCAAGCGATGTTCCTGTGGGCACACACACATGTGTGTATGTGTGTGTATGTGTGTATGCATACATATGTACATTATATATATGATACTTGACACGCACTTAATGCCCCACATAGGACCCAACTCCAAGCACTTTGTCCCCCAGCAGAGTCCTGCAGCAAAGTAGCAAAGTCGAGGACCCTTAGCTGGGGTGTTCAGTTGTCCATGAATGCTGCCCGACACACCACCAGTGCCAGGAGCATGTCCATAACAATAACGCAGCACTTGGTTTAGTACCAAGTTAGGCTTATTCCCCCGTGGCCCCCAGGAGGAAGCCGGACACACAGAATTGCTCAGAATGTACAACACCTGGAACATGCAGTGGATATGAACAAATCAGTGTCGACCGGTTGAAAAAGTGGATTCTCGATGTGCTTTGTTGATAACCCTTTACATTGCAGCAATTCTGAATCGTAGCCAGAATACCCAGGCCTTCTACAGATGAGCAAGGTGTTGGTCAGGGGCGCCGCTAAGGATTTTGGGCCCTATAATGCATATCATATTGGGGCCCCAACCCAGACTAATCCAATTATGTTCCAAATTTTTTGGGCCCCTGGGTTGGAGTCACTTTAACTTCCCCTGTTTAAGGCACCAGGGTGCTGGGCTCTAGTTTCAGAGGCTGCTACACGTTTGCATATCACATGTTTTTATGCTTATTTATTCAATATATCATTTCATCACCGAGTATCTCATTTTCCTCTTTTATAGACTTAACAGTACTCATTGTAAATAGGACCCAGATTACTTACTAGTGTGCAGGTGGCTGACAGAAAAGGACCATGAAACTATAAAAGGGAATCAGATTTGGGCCACAGGAAAACCCGACCACTATGTACGGTTTAGTGGTTACACACAAAATGGGAACTATTTCCCCACAGGTGAGTGTAGATGTCGTCTTACTGGTCTGAGAACAGCAAAACAACAAGTTTTGACATATATGAATTTGTTTCGAATAAAGAGAAAGTCAACTCTAGGGGAAAGTTTATTCCCACCAGCAGAAATACTCAGGGTAACCACTGCCCCAGGTGTTACCAGAAACACTGACATTACGATACTTGTTATTTTGCACACGCTATTTCCACTAACATCCAGGGTTGCCAACGCTCACGCATCTGGCGTGACAGTCACGCTTTCAGGCTCTAATGCTCACGCAAGAAATCTTATGGCAAATCTATGCGTATTTCTCAAAACCAAGAGCGCAAAGATAGTACTCATAGTCTTGTTAAGACCCGTCTTTCTAACTTGCCTCCCAAGAATGAACTTGGAGCACAATGAATCATGGGATTGTTCTCATTTGGCGAGGATGCAGGAGAAGTGTCTGGGCACAGATCTCGTCTGTGAGGCTACCTCTCCTGTGACACCTGGTTGAGAAGCCAGGGAAGATGTGACATTGTAACCATTACCGCTTTCTACTGTACTGGGGTGGTACTGCAAGAAAAATCTCACACGCATCAAGAAATTGACACTGGGATGTCCAAGGTGATTATTCTCTATTTCTTTATTTTCAATTATTATTCTCTTTCTTCTGTCTTTATACGAGATCACCATCCTTCTACTGAGGAACCTGGAGGGTTTCAGCAGAATGAGTTTTTTTGAACCATGTGATCATTGGATAATTGAAATCTGAATGTTAATGAAGAAAATAACAAATGAAATCTATTATTATCATTTATTTATTTATTAGGGGTCCAAGCAGTGAGAGCTGATGGGTCCATATTATTTTTCGTCTTGATTATTATTTAAAAAAAAACATCAACACGTCATTTTGCAACCTGTAGCAACAAATCGACGCATCTTCACTGCCAGTACTGCCTTCACGAACACTTGCTACAAATGGACATTTAGACAAACTGAGTTGACCGTTTTGGTTCCCAACATTATGGGTTCCCGACCACTTGGGGATTGGACACCGATATATTTAATATGCAAATGAAGTTATCCTTATTATTATTATTATTACTACTACTATTATTATTGCTGAGATTAAATTATGACGCATGATATTCATACATTGACCAAATATATAGTATTTGTGGTGAAGCATGAGGATCTTACAAAAATATTAATAAGTTTCTTATTCAAGCTCTATATTAATTAATAAAGAATTAACATGAATCGAGTTTACTATGCATTAAAGAACTGAGCATCACAGTGTCAGATTTGCATAAAGACAAAGGCCTGGTACACTGAGACATTGTCTCTTTCTTACAATGTTGGTGAAGCAGCGGTTTAGACAAACTGACCACCTCACTGACTTAAACCCATCACTTAAAAACCTTGTCTATATGCGTGTCATTTGTAGGGCTCTGTCATCATTTAGCGAACTACAGATTTTCAAGCACAGCCTAGGTAGCAACGTGAGTTGAATATGGTTTCTTATTGTGTTCTTCACATACGGAAATACGAAACAGACAGCGCTCCGAATCGCCGTGTATCGATCTGAATAAGCACCGCAACAAGTCGCTAACTTTGTCCCCATTCAGACATGTGATTTCAGTACAATATGGTGTCGTTTCCCGGACTCGGGATGGAGGTGGGTTTCAGTTTGGAGATGGACTGAGAGCTGAAGTCTACGGCCAGACGCAGCTGGGATTAGAGCTGCCTCCCGTCTCTTATATTACACCACTGCGTCTCCTATTACACGGGATCTCGTTTTGTAAGGGACGGGTGGCAACCCGAGGTGGGATGCAACCGATGTATCCTTGATATCTGGGGCGGGGCAAGAACGACTTCTGGGGATTTTTACCGTCCTCTGTACTTCTGTTCTTAGTATTGGACCCAGTATTCACAAATGGAACATGAGGCAACCACGAGAACAGTGAACAGAGAAGTACAGTGACGTACGTATATTGAGAAACACCCTATATTTTTATAAACCTAAAATTAGCCACATTCAAAGCGTTGGGGCAGTTTGCAAACCCTACAAACTATTTACAATGTAAATAAACATGTAAATTTGTGCAGACTTATGCCAATCAAAACTTCACCAGCTGACCAAATCTGGCAACTCTGAATATCTCATTTTGTCATAAACCAACTTTTCACTTTTATTTTTTTCCTGGTGCGCTAAATATTGACGTTTCGTTTCATAATGCAAGATACACCGTTCAGCATTTTTGAATTAGTATCTCTTCAGAAAAACGTCTACAGACAATTTTATATTATACATCTACACAAAGTCTTATTTTGCTATTACTGTTAGTGTTGCTATCAATTGTTCCACATATACAGGGGGGTCCTTCCTGCTAAATGCCACCTGCCTCACAAAATGCCTTCTGCCCCGGTGATCTGACCTCATTTGCCTCCTTGATTCATGACTATTGCAAGTTGGCTATGTTACATTTATTATGCCGAGTCGTGCCATCGTTACAGTAGCTTTACGCTCCCACACCTGCGGCAGAATACAACCCCCTATCAATAAATTCAGCGCCACTGCCACCGTAACACTGGGTGAAAGGGCCGAAAATCGCAGACATACACGCGGTTCATTCGGTCAGCTGAAATTGTCAACGGACACACTTCGTAGCGAACGACATCAATTTAAATCAGCCTCAAATATATCTGTAGCTATATATATATATATATATATATTGCACTGAGACTGTGATCGCGATCTAAAATGTTTTACCGAAACCAAAACAAAAAACAGCTTCCCGACCCTATTTACCTGCTTTTTTACATTTAATGACGCCAACTGCCTAAAGCTGCCTGTGGACCGATGATGTTTATTAAGGGTGTTAAGAAAAACACAGTTATTCAAACGAGATACAATAAATCAATGTAGCTGGTGTAATGTGTAACTAATGCCCATTTTCTGGTAAGAAAGGTCTCCGGCTTTAGATACTCCTCGGTTCTTCCCAAAACAACGTCGATTCCACATTTTTCCCGAGAGCCTGAAACACGTCTAATACGGAATATATAATACAGGACACATGTTGTCCTTCTCAGCCTCTCCAATATTTACATAATTCTCTTTACTCTAAAGATATCTGACACAGAAACGTGACCGCAGGAGCATGACTACCGTGACCAAATCCCATCCATTTTGTCAGTAATTCAGGAAAAACCTCACCTTTCAATACGCCACAAAATAACAACAAAAGGGCGACGGCACAGTATACGGACTTCATTGTAATCCTTGCGGACTTCCAGTGTTGTTTGATTACAGCATTTTCCTTGTGACCCCTCGAGAACGAGAACGCCTAAGGCGCACCGAAGGCTTCTGCGCAGGCGCGAGCGCAGGCGCTGCGCAGCTCGGGGCCGTTCGTGAGCAGACGGGTAGGGTTAGGAATGGGATGGACATTTCAGGCACAACCACTTGTTGAATTACTTGTCAGCGGAGAAGTATTTCTGTCTTTCCATACGATATTAGATATTAACCTTTGCTGCAAATGTAAAGTAGTTTGAATAAGTTAATTAGAAAAATAAATAAAATTACATACAGAGCTCCAGCCTAACTTTGGGAGCAACAGGGCAAAATTTAAGTGCACCACAACAACACAATACATTCATATCGAAAATCTTAACTATATTACTGCTACATGCTTTAGTAACAAGTATACAATTTACGGAAATAACAATGTGATGTTTTATTTTAAAAGAAAAAGTGTCGAAGTGAAGTAGTGCTTTAAGAGAAAAAATATTATATGGTGGTTTTTTAACCATGAACACCACAAAATAAATTTACAATGGTAAGCATAAGGTAGGCCTATGCGGTCAGTATATTGCTGTCATTACAGCACAACAACCACAACGAAACAAGTAAACAAGGACCTGCCTCTTATATGCCCCCCCCACACACACACACCCTTCACCTTCATCGCCCCTTTTCTTTTGAGAAGTTAATCAACGATTTGTTTCATTGTCACCAAAGTACCAAGCAAGGGCAAGAATACTTATGTAGCAGATACAGGTAGATGACATATGGAAGGTCGTCCCAGAGGGAAACGTGAGACAAAATATGTCACAGCATGACATTTTTTCCCCTCTAGACATGATAAAAATGACCACATTTAGGCATCATTTTTCATAACGTGGCCACGTCTTCAAGGATTTCAGCCAACAGAGTGGCTGGGAAATTTGTCATGTTAATGCATACATCCAAAGTGGGAGAACAGAATGTAATAGTATTTATTAGGTTCTGATTTGAAATCTTTGCTCCTACTATTCTAAATGCACTCAGTGGCTACTTTATTGTGTAAACTTTGGTAGTAGTGGGTTGGACTCCCTATTCATGGTACAGATTCAACAAGGTGCATGAAACATTCCTCAGAGACCTTTGGTCCATGTTGTCATGAGAGCGTCACGCAGTTGCTGCAGATTTGTCAAATTTCCTGTTCTGGCAGATTCCATAGATGCTCTGTTGGATTGAGATCTGGTGACTGTGGAGGCAACTCATTGTCGTGTTCAAGGAAGCAGTCTGAGATGATATGAGCTTTGTGACATGGTGCGTTATCCTCTTGGAAGTAACCATTAGATGCTGGGTGCACTGTGGTCATAAAGATATGGACATGGTGAAAAATAAAACTCAGGTAGGCCGTGGCATTTAAATGATGCTCAATTGGCACTAAGGGGCCCAAAGTGTGCCAACAAAATTTCATTACATTACCACCTGCAGTCTGAATTACTGATACAAGGCAGGATGGACCCATGCTTTCATGTTGTTTACATCAAATTCTGACCCTAACCCTCTGAATGTCACAGCAGAAATTGAGACTCATTTGACCAGGCAACGTTTTTCTAATCTTCCATTGTCTGATTTTGGTGAGCCTGTGCTACTGTAGCCTCAGTTTCCTGTTCTTAGCTGACAATGCGGAATATTATTTTGCACTTCAGAACGCACACAGAATGTAATCATTAGCACCCCCTACTGGTCAGATGAAACTGCTATTGAACATATTTAATAAAATTAAATATGGTAAAGATACATTCGTAAAGAAGCTGATGTAAACCATGTAGAGTGTGACCTTGGACCAGCGGAGCCAACCCACCACCAGGTAGTGATCAGTTGACAGCTCCGCCCCTCTCTTCACCAGAGTGTCCAAGACATGCGGCCGCAAGTCCGATGACACGACTACAAAATCAATCATCGAACTGCGGCCTAGGGTGTCCTGGTGCCAAGTGCACATATGGACACCCTTATGCCTGAACATGGTGTTCATTATGGACAATCCGTGACGAGCACAGAAGTCCAACAACAAAACACTGCTCGGGTTCAGATCGGGGGGGGGCGTTCCTCCCAATCACGCCACTCCAGGTCTCACTGTCATTGCCCATGTGGGCATTGAAGTCCCCCAGTAGAACAAGATAGTTATTAGTTATTCTGAACTGCCGCTTGGCGCATAAGCGCAAACAACAGTCAGGACCCGTTCCCCCACCCGAAGGTGAAGGGAGGCTACCCTCTCATCCACTGCGGTAAACCCCAATGTACAGGCACCCAGCCAGGGGGCAATAAGTATGCCCACCCCTGCCCAGTGCCTCTCCCCGCGAGCAACTACAGAATGTAACAGGGTCCAACCCCCCTGGAGGAGACTGATTCCAGAGCCCAAGCCATGCGTCGAGGTGAGCCCGACTATGTCTAGCCAGAACTTCACCACCTTGCGCACCAGCTCAGGCTCCTTCCCCATCAGAGATGTGACATTCGATGTCCCTAGAGCTAGCTTCTGCAGCTGAGGATCGGACCGCAAAGGTCCCCACCTTCGGCCACTGCCCAACTCACACTGCACCCGACCCCTATGGCTCCTCCTATGGGTGGTGAGCCCATTGGAGGGGGGACCCACTTGCCTCCTTTGGGCTGTACCCGACCATGCCCTATGGGTGCAGGCCTGGCCACCAGGCGCTCGCCATTGAGCCCCACTGCCAGGCCTGGCTCCAGGGGGGGTCCCCGGTGACCCGCGTCCGGGCAAGGGAAATCGTGGCTCCATTATTTTATGCATCATAAGGGGTCTAATGAGCCGCACTTTGTCTGGTTCCTCACCCAGGACCTGTTTGCCTTGGGTGACCCTACTTCAAGCTGACAGAAAGGCAACAGTAACTCAAATAACTACTCATAACCAAGGTATGGAGAAGACCATCTCTGTCTGAGATATTGTTACGCGATAAGAAAATGTATAACAATTAGTGTAAAACAGTGTTGGACAGACTCCTGCAGGGTTTCCAGCCTTGGCTGTAACCTCGCTGTTACAATAAAGACTGAATCTGAAGACCTACACAGGCGGCTCCTGACTCCTGATTGGCAGGTAAGAAAAAAGCACAACAATAGAAGTTGCAGCGGGTGTCATCTTCTGCAGCTGTAGCCCATCTGCTTCAAGGTTCGACATGTTGTGTGTTCAGAGATGGTCTTCTCCATACCTTGGTTATGAGTAGTTATTTGAGTTACTGTTGCCTTTCTGTCAGCTTGAAGCAGCCTGGCCATTTTTCTCTGACCTCTGCCATCAACGTGTCCATGTTTGCTAAACTTGTCACATCAGATCCGAGTGACTTTGTGGCTGGAATTGCTGCCAAGGGAGCTTCAACAAAGCATAAAGGGTCTGTGACTTTCATTATGGTGCGTTTTGTATAGATTTATGATTATAAAGATGATTTAATTCAATTATTTTATTAGAGTTCAGCTGCTACAAAACAAAACATGGAAATGAAAGCACTATGAATACTTTTTTAAAATGCGCTATATTATGATTTTTAAAGCATTCAATGTGACATTTCACATTTTTCAGCTTTTTTCTGCTTCATATTCTAAGCAATTCGTATGCCATTATCCAATAACGCTTGAGTCACACTCTACTGCAGAAGTGGTTCTTCCAGGGCTGTCGTTTCACTGTATGAAACTCAAGTTGCTGCCAGAAAACAAACCCTATGACAGAGCATAACCTCAGCTGGAGCCCATTCACATTTCACTTCCATTTCCCCAACCTATTAAAAACTAGAACCCAAGAATGGGTCCCTGCTTAATCTTTTGTGTTTGTGTGAACATCATTCATAAGGGAACCATTGAGTCATGATATTATAGGGCAAGGAAGATGTGGCCCCATCAGTTTCACAGAGACCAGGTGAAACAGATAGATAGATAGATGGATGGATGGATGATGGACGGATGGACCATATTTCTTTTCTTTTACAAGAAACCTTCAGTCAGTTGCTTCTATGTACCATTTTACAGACCTATTAATGCATAGAAATTTATCCTTAAGATATTCCCTTATAAATGATGTTCACACAAACACAAGGGATTATCAATGTGTAAAAAATAAATTATGGTAGATGCATCTGTTTTCATTTTTTTGTTTACAAATGTATTCATTAGGCTGGGCTCTCATCTTGCCCCCCTGGGGAGAAAAGCCTAGAGTCGCACATGGGTAATGCGGGACGGCATGTCTCTGACGGAGACACAGAGCGACCCCCGTACGGCTCTAAGCAGCAGGGGATAGATTTAAATAGAAGCAATGAAGTTCCCTCCCCAATAGGAAGAGACTTGAACAGATAAATATTATAACAAAAAGTACAGTTACAACTGACCCCTGCTGTCAGTTTTGTCCCACATCAATGGTCCATCTGAATAACAACAGAAGGTATAAAGCAGCAGCCTGAGTCTTTTTCTCAGTTTTCTCATTGAAATCTCATTATGTCTTTATAATGGCTGCAGAAATTGATCCTTGTCCTTCTCATCTTCGTCCTCTTTGCTGTGGACCTGCAGCTTCTCTGAGGGCTCTGAGGGGGGGTCGGCCTGCTCGTCTGAGCTATCTGAAACGATGACCACGGCGTGGTATGGCTCATTCTCCTCGCCGCTGTTCTGCATAGCCAGGAAGATATAGGACCGGTATGGCTCTATCAAGTACTGTGGAGGGAGAGAGTCAAAAGAACAGTGATGAGATCACACCGGCTCGAACCCCATTTTCGCCTGACAGCGTGACATCTCTCCTCGATCAGATCAAACTTCGGAGCAAATCCCAAAGTGTTGCATTTATATATTTTCTCAGTATATTTAATCTTTACACTCAATTATTATTTGATGTATGTACAAGGATAGTTCTGTACAATTTCCTTTATAAGCAATGTTGGGCAGTAGTGTCACTACAAATAGTTAAACTATTAGATTAAGTACATTTTCCAATGTACTAAAGGGAAAAAAGTACATTTTCCAGTAGTGAGGTCGTAATTTGTTACTTTTGAAACCAAATAGCTGTCTAGCGAAGCTCTCTATTTAGTGAGGTAGCTGGTAGCTCTGACAGCATTACATCTCCCCACACTGACCCAAATCGTCTATGTTGTACTGGTGCTAGTTCAATGGATATCTCCACCCCGATTACGATGTAACGCCACACCCACAACCTGCACAAAGCAAGCTCTATTTTTAGAAACACCATTCTCAATAAATCGCCATTCCTATTTTCTGAGGAAGCAACGGTGGTCATGCCTGGTTAAGATTATGAAATTAACACAACTGAAATGTGTATGCATTCAAAACAGTCACTGTGTACTGCTGCGCAAACGAGCAGACTGAATCATTTATGTTGCTGGAGTTTTTTCCGTTTTTCATTCAGGACATTCAGGACGCTGCTTGCCTACATTGTTACAGAGACTTATTCACATACAAACAATTTAAATACTGTTTGGAGCTGGTGCTCATAATATTGGAGGTGTTTATAGGTGTTTGTAGTGTAACTTGCTACATTTCTCTGATGTATAACTTTCATGCAGCTCAGCTATATTTTGTATATATTTATATTTTGTATTTAGAATAACTAGTAGCTTAGCTTAGCACATTTTTAAGCAGCCGGCGTTCTGAGAAAACATCCTACCTATCGAGATGTGCTATCGAGCCTTTCTGCGCATGTGCAGTTCCACCGTCTTGGGATTAGGTTTTAGGGGTTAGGGTTAGGGTAAGAGTTATGGTTAGGGCTTTAGATTAGCACTTCGGTAGGATGTTTTGATAAAGTAGGACGTTTTGTCAGAACACCGGTCCAACAGTGTTTGAAAGCACCGCAAGCATTGTCATTCATAAATGTCCATTTTGCTGGAAGATCCTTTGCGACACGTAGTGGCCATATGACATATTGCAAGGTATAAATTCACGCAGATCACCGAGGTCAGGATGAATTAGCTCTAGTACCCACCTGCTTGAAATGCTCTGGGAGTTTGGCGCTGGGATAGAGGAACCTCAGGCCCTTATAGCAATACCAGCCCAGCAGGAACAAGAGCGGCAGAGACACAATGACCACCAGGAAGCTTGATATAAGCGCCACGGCCACCACCCAAGGCTCCACTGTCCCTGCCGTGACACACGCACACACATTCATCTATCTGACACTTTTGTAAAGCACTCAGTAAGCAATGCAAACAGTTCTGTGAAAAATGTAACGACATATTAAGCCATTAAAATATCTTCTTCTGTCTCTCCAAGCCTGCAGTATATCCCAGGCTACACAGTGCACAAAGCTGGGGTACATAATATTCTCAGTACCATCAAAATCAGCCGCTACGTAAATAAAATGAAATCGAACAGAATGAACTGAGGAGATTCAAATTCGAGGCCCAAGGCTAGTGCCCTTGGATAAAACGTTTTCCTTAACGGGGAAGATTACAAATATGTGACACTGAAAAAGCCCCGGTCTCTCTGAACGGGAGCTCACCATTTGATGTGGTTGTTTCGCACACCGGCGCGCTCTGCTGACTGGGTTTGTTGGAGACCTGGAAGTCGATGTTCGCCTGCACGCAGTACCGCGTCCAGGGCAGCAGGTCGCTCAGCAACAGCAGCTTCTGCTTTGTTTGCTTCTGTTTCTTTGTCTGTTTGGGGGAGAGAGGCTTGTTGAGGTTGTGGTATAAAGAGCTTCATAGCAGACAGGACACCATCCACAGGTATTGTTCTGGTGATTGGCCTGTGAATGTGGTGTTCTGTTTGTCTGTATGTTGACCATGGAAGACTGAATTTTCTCCCTAAGCTGTTTAATTTTTTTATATTTCAATTGCTATTGTATATGTACACTATATTGCCAAAAGTATTGGGGCACCCCTCCAAATCATTGATTTCAGGTGTTCCAATCACTTCCATAGTC